CATGGAACTGTTCGAAAATGTCGTATCCCCAGGTAAAGTAGGTGGACGTTATGCAGGATTTAGTCAGGCTGGTGGAGCCATGGAGAGGTTGGTGTCAAGGGGTTGATCCAGGATGAAGATACGCTGATTGAGGATTTGCATGGCTTCTTGAGTTAGGACGTCAGTAAAGAGATCATTAGCTGATAATCTGGTCCAGTTCTTCTGACAGAGGTATGTAGAGTCTGCGATGTATTTGTCCATTTTGACAAAGTTGAAACAATCGGGATTTCACGAAAACAAAACTTGTGAAAGCCATCGAAACCCGCCCCCAAAAACCTTTATTAATCAACAGAGACCAGGGGTACTACATACCATCGCCCTACTAAGAGCTAATCAAGATATAGACTTTATCTATTAGCACCCTATCAGCTAGTTTTGTTACTGCTTTCACTACTTAATCCCCAAATGTACTTCTAGTTTTATATTTCATATTTTGATTTGCAGCTGCGGGCACAGCTAGGCATAACAAGCTCCTTACGTTAAAGTATTTTTTACGTAATCATAGTTATGACATTATGTATAAGTGTCCATTTCCCCAATATTATTCATTTACCTCCTAGTTTTTGCGTTTTTCATTTGATTATGTCATGTATGCAGCTTGTGTATATTGTATGTATACTATAGCGGCGTTAGCATAAGCCTTTAATGCTTGTTCACCAATTCAAGTTTTTGTTTTGCAAAATAATTGTTTAAACCACTTAATCCCCACTGCTTATGGCAGTGTATGAAATAAGCCAAAAATCCAGTCAGGCATCAGGGCTGGTAACTTCAAAGTGTTTCCAGCCCAAATATGGTAAATTTACTCGGATGTATGGAACATCTTAACTTTTTACCAAACCATCGGGCTTGCTAGCATTAAATTTGGACCGTCTCCGGAGGTCGGGCCTTATTATCCCCCACCGCGCGTTTAGCGCAAAACGGGGATATATATATATATATATATAGTATTAGGCTCCGTCCGTACGAATTAGAATATCTTAAGAACCGTTCACTAGATTCTTTTCATATTTGGTACCTAGGTTCATCACAGTATAAGAAAGGTCCCAGTCAGGTTTGGTGACCTTAACCTTCATTTCAAGGTCACTTGAACGTTTTACTCTTGTCAGCGAGATATCTCAAGAACCGCTCACTAGATTTTCTTCATATTCAACACCAAGCTTTATCTAGGGAAGGCGCAGGGCCCAGCCGATTTTCACTTAATGTTCAAGTTCACAGCGACACTTTGAAGATTTCAGTATGTTAACCTGCATGTTAAGATGGTCAGCGAGATATCTCATGAACCATTCACTGGGCTTTCTTCATATTTGACACTTTGAATATTTCAGCATGTTAAATTGCATGTTAACATAGTCAGCAAGATATCGCAAAAAACATTCACTGGATTCTTTTCATATTTGACACCAAGCTTCATCTATTGATGGCGCAGGGCCCAGTCAATTTTGGTGACCTTCACATAATTTTCAAGGTCACTGTGACACTTGGAAGATTTCAGCATGTTAACCTGAATTCACTGGATGTTCTTCATAGACTTTCAAGACTTCCCTTGAATGTTTTTCAATAAGCAATTTCTTTAGTACCGTTTTTGCATATTTCATACACTATGACATTCATGTCAAGGTCAAAGTCACTCTTGAAAATATTTCCGTTTGAACAACTAAAGAGAAAATATCAAGAGAGGTTGACTGGGAATGTTTTTGTTGATATTTAACTTCCATCTTAAACTTTCATTACTTTTTTAAGTTTGATTTCATAATTTGCGGCGGGGGATTATGTCACCTTAGTGACAATGCTTGTTTCATACACTGCATATCGGCTTCTTCACCCATGCTATTTGTCCTTCTTACTCCCCACTTTCCTCATTCAATTAGGTGTCAATCATTAACAATTATATGCTGTTGTTAATGTTAATCTGATGTTTGTCAGAACATAGTAGGAATATATATACTTCTCATCACTTGGTTGTAGTCACTTTTAGAGTGAGTGAGTGAGTTTAGTTTTACGCCGCACTCAGCAATATTCCAGCTATATGGTGGCGGTCTGTAAATAATCAGACAGACCAGACAATCCAGTGATCAACAGCATGAGCATCGATCTGCGCAATTGGGAACCGATGACATGTGTCAACCAAGTAAGCGAGCCTGACCACCCGATCCCGTTAGTCGCCTCTTACGACAAGCATAGTCGCCTTTTATGACAAGAATGTGTTGCTGAAGACCTATTCTACCCCGGGTCTTCACGGGTCAGTCACTTTTAGAATAATGACAGTGTGGATTTGAGAACTGTAACGTCGCCCTATACATTAACAAGTTGGTTTCCATAAAGTTTATGCTTTATTATTGACTCACCAACTTCTTATATATGCCAATCAAACAATTAAACCATGCACTGTCCAACACATGATGTTAAGGACATAGACATGATGCATTCATGTAAAACCATATGTGACATATCACGTTTCTACTGTATATCAGGGAAATAAAACTGATACATTAATGTGTTATTGTTGTAATGCTGAAGGTATAAAAGGGTTGCAAGGTGTCAAGTAATGAAAGTGGGTGTGTTGTTTTATTATGGCGAAAGCGTGCATGCATGTGTGGCTGCTTGTACTAGCCCAGACTTAAGCTAGTTTTATAGGGCTAGATCACAGAGATACCACTGTGTTCTTTAATCTGATTTTTTTAAAAACGTGATCAAATGGTATTCGATTCCCGGAAATTCGCTGCGTATTAATACATACAAACATCGCTCACACCATTGTATTGTTACGTCGTCAGCTGAGATGACGTCATTCAAATCATATTGTGACGTAAAGTCCGAATGACGTCACAAAAGAGCAGTTCTAGATGCTACCATGGGAGACAGCCGAAACTGGCGGCTGATGACATTGCACTGCTGTATCCGTACTCTATGTCAATGAGTGCAGACACAAAAACGTGTGTACATGTACATGTATTTGATTCCGGGAAATTCTCTGCGTATTAATACATACAAACATCGCTCACACCATGTGATGACGTCATTAAAATCATATTGTGACGTAAAGTCCGAATGACGTCACAAATGAGCAGTTCCAGATGCTACCATGGGAGACAGCCGAAACAGCCGGCTGATGACATTTCACTCCTGTACCCTACTCGATGTCAATGAGAGCAGACACAAAAAACGTGTGTGGACCTTTCGGTTTACTTTTGTGTTTACAATGTGGATAAACATCATGTGTTGGCGAATTTCCGGGTGTTATTGAGTATTTGAAGCACGGGAATATTTCATTTGAAACCTCCGGTTGACGCCGTCGGTTCAAATACTCAATAACACCGGAAATTCGCCAACACATGATGTTTATCTCCTAATTGTACTATGCCACAGTTAAGTATGAATACCCCCACAGACACATTATACCGACTCTGAGCCGACCCGTCCTTGTTGTACTCATTAATGCCGAGCGCCAGGCAGGGAAAAACAAGTACCACATATTAATGTCTTTGGTTTGACGCGGTCGGGACTCGAACCCGCGACAACCGCTCTCCGGGCGGACGCTCTAACCACTACACCACAGAGGCGGTCCGGGATCTGTAAATGACTGTGTCTTTAGTGAGTGAGTATGGTTTTAGGCTGCTTTTACCAATATTCATGCAATAGGGAGAACACCAGAAATAGGCTTCACACACTGTACTCATGTGGCATGACGAGAACGCTTGAACCACAGCATCATACTGGTCCACTTGGCTGCAACCCCTGTGCACATACAACATAGCGAGTGAGTGAGTATGGGTTTACCTGCTTTTAGCAATATTCCAGGTATATCACGGCAGGGGACACCAGAAATGGGCTTCACACATTGTACCCATATGGGGAATCGAACCCAGTTCTTCGGCATGACAAGTGAACGCTTTAACCACAAGGCTACCCCACCACCCCAGAAATCAGTGATGACACCAGATGCCATATTGTTTTGGGTACTGTCAGTTTGCCCACACCTTAATCGCACCTTTGTCAAGCATGTGATTAAAGTTAATGATACAACATAGGGTTATCTCCCATTTGACAGACACCATTTGACAGACACCCAATTGACGGACACTGAACTAGAAGGTAACACCTACGGGTATAATGGAACAGTCCACTGTGTAGTGACTAGAGCAGGGTGAGCCTGAAACAGGTTCATTACTGACAAGTTTGATTGTAGGTAAATAGAACTTTGTTGTGATTAAATGATTTCTCTTCTCAAAATTGATTTTACTATCAATTACTATCGAATATAAAAACAGTTTTGTCACTGAGAGGTTTGATTGTGTTTATTGATAGAAAAGTCCCCTCCCAAAAATAGCATATGTACAACAGAAGTTAACTGAGAAAACGTTTTGTTGGAGAGATAGATATATGTACATATTTGAAAACATTCTTATTTGCAGTAAATGATCGTAGCTCTGAGAACAGAAGAAAAATATGTTAAGAATGACATATGAATGACAATGAAAGAACTGGATTTAGAATTCTAAAAATGATAGTTTTAACAAATTCAGTTACTTTAGATTCAATTGTCTTTGAAGGTAATACTCACTAGTAATTTCTTCTTGATAGATTGTTGGTACAGGTCTCTCGTCAGTCTTCACGCGTTCCTTCAGGTTGACAAGGAACTTGTTCACAGCAATCTTCTCATTTGGCATGAAACTAAAATCTACTTGTGCATTTGCTACCTTGAAATATGTGACAGATGACAGTGGTTCTATATATAGAGTTCACCTCTCAGTTTATCTAAGCATTTTATTATTGAGAACTGATTTTTGATTAGGACAGTTCTACAGTGGCCAGTGACTACTTGTCACCACACTCAAAACTGGCAATATCCAGCCAGCCATGAACTCACTAATTAGGGTTAATTATAATCCGATATTCATTAACTATGCACAGATATAAAGTGTGATCAACATTACCGTAAAACATGATCGAAAGATAATTGATAATTTGTCATTTTTTATTTGCAGTTCTGAAAAAATTAAACAAAGTTGTGGATTTTGGTGGGGTACTTTTTGAGACCTTTGGACTTTTCTTCTTTGATTGTCTAATTTTTCCCACATGGGAGGAGGTACTTTTCATATTTTCGAATTCCCACTGTAGTGCCAACTCTGCTTGGATCTCAATGGGGAGTGATCGGAACACTTCAGGATCTGTATTGGGTGGTACAGGAGGAGCGGGCCCTGTCATCAGTTTGAAGATAGGCTCTGAGGTCCTGGCATCTCCTTCAGCATTGGATGTTCCTGGACTGGGACCAGAGATTGCTGATGAAGGTGATGTTGACTCTGCTGCTGGTGTGATATTCTGCAGTGTTGCTGATACAAACTGAGTTGAAGGAGTTGCAGTTGACGATGGAGCTGATTGTGTTGCTGTCACTGATTTAATGGCCGCTCCCAATGTTGTAGTTGGCAGTGGTTGTGTTGATGGTGATGCAGCTGACAAATATTTGGGTTTAGTCCCGGACATGGAATTCACATGAACCTTTGACTTCGTACTTTCAATGAACTGTGGTGAGTTCTGAGTGTTGCTGATCAAAAAATCACCAGCTACCTGACTTGTATCCACATTGCTCTCATAATCAAACATGTCAAACTGTGGAAGAGAAACTGATGCTGATTCTGGCAAAATGTTCACTTCACTTTCCTTTCCCTTTACATCCTGATCATGCAAGTCGTTACCTGTTTCCATGTCAGCAGCAGCAACATCTGACTTACATTTAGATTTCTGTGAATCAGTAAACATGTAATTTTTATCATCACTACTTGATAAAGGGGTCAAAGCAGTGTCCCAAGATTTTCTTGGACTGAACAACCTTTTCTTCTTCTTGAACGGGCTGACATCATCAGCAAAATTAACACCGCCCACATCGCCCAATTTTCCTTTCTCAGGTGTTTTTAACCCATTGGAACACTCATCTCTGGCTTCACCAGAGACAGGTAAGCTAACAGGTCCAGATGACCAGTTCTGTGGTTTTCTTTTCAATTGTGTTCTTCCTCTCTGTTGTCTGGTGGAGTGATCTGACGTGTGGCGACCTGACCTTGTTGACCGGCAGTTGGCTAGAATGTCCTCCTGCATGTCTGGTGGCAGCTGGTGAAACACCTCCGCATCAATACCAGCTGGAAGTGGAGCAGTAACACCCACAGATTGGTCAACTGCGGATTTGGACAGACCATGATCCTGGCAGAAGGCAGTGGTGCTTAATATAGGTGAGATTTCTCCACGGTGAACATCAGCTTTACCACAAAGAGTTTCTTCCTCAGAACTGGAAGTTGAATTGAGTTCCTTTAACTGTTTAATTGTTTGTGTTTTGGACACTAATCCTGGCCTTTCATTACTTTCCGATGTGTTCAAAGGTAACTGATCTAAAGCTTTGTAAACTTCCTGGTGGTTTGAAGTCACCTTTTTCTCGAAGAAACCAATTTTATCTTTATGAGGTTTCACATGAGATGACAAACTGTTTTTTTCCAAAACAGACTTATGTTGAGCTGAATGATTCAATGATACACTAGTATCACTGTTTGATATGATGGCTATATCTGAACTGTCTCCAGCTTGACCAGCTTCATCATTCAAATGACAGACATCTGTACTTAGCCTGCAACCCTCGTCTGAAGAGTGTTCACTGACTTTGTTGGTCACAGGTCCTGAAGCAAGGTTCTCAACCTGATCTGTCTGGGACAGTATCTGCCCAGCTATACCATCATGGCCTCCAGAGAGTTGGAAAAAGCTACTGATACCAGTTTTGGGTTTCTGCTCTAGCTTTGCAAAGGCAACATTGATGAGAGTCAGATGAAAAGGTTGTTTCACATTGATGATTCTTTCAAACAGTGACATCGCCGTTTTTCTCAGGTACTCATGCGCAAATGAGACATCACCTGCAATTATGAATAAAAAAATATCATTCACTGGTCAATAAGGTATTCACATTACACTACAGTTAACTAGTGTTGAAATGAACTCAAAGGGACCATTCATTGTAGTTACTTATTGATCACATGCATTTTGACAGACGTACAGGAAGTGGGCTAGGACGAAAACATCAGTTTGTCAGATACGTCAGTTCATTATAGGCATGTTCATTACAAGCTTAGTTTACTGTACATGTTGAAATGGAAGCAGCCCAATCACAAACTTTTCCTGATGCTGCAAAACTTTCCATCCTGTATTCTGTACATATGTATCACATAGAACTTGGACCAGATCACCAATGTATACAATACATAGGCGGATCCAGAGGGGAGTGCAGGGGTGTGCACCCGCCCTTTTGTCCTGAAAGTTTATTAAATGATCATTGAAACTCTCGAGAAAACGGGTGAAAATGAACTGTGCATACTGACTAAAAGAAATTCTTCAATATTTTTCAAAAATGTAAATTTCTGAATAAATTTGATATTTTATACTTATCCTGACTCATGTATTTTTGCTTGTCTCCTTCCTCTTGCGAACGTTAGTGGAACACTTGTATCTCCTTATTGAAGCTCCTTTCAATAAAACAGACGTAAAATCACTACTCACCATGAGTTATCTCTCTAGCCGTTTTGACGGGAAAGAGGCGCCACCCGTCTTCCCACACTTCACTCTCTCCAATTAGTAGCCCGACACTTTAATTTACGGGGAAATCCAAAGTGTCTAGCGGGGAGGTTGGGAGGGCTTACCTCATGAGTCAGGATAAGTATAAAATATCAAATTTATTCAGAAATTTACATATTTTTCCTTATCCTGACTCATGTATTTTTGCTTGTAGAATCTGTCGGATTTGGTGGTGGGTCAAGCCACTTCTGGATTCCATGTAGTGATTACGTCTATATACCCCCCTGGGAACTTCTATTTACTGCTATGCTCTGCTGCTGCTGTAACCCTTTACTTCCAGCTTTCTCTGATGGGGGGACCACAATTGTTAACTTTGGTCCTTGCTTCTGTTAACATTTTAATGTGGATTTTGCAACTCCATCTCTTGATGCAAGCATCAAGTGGAGAAGCGACCCTTTCCTGTACGAGTATCCTTACAAGTACTGGGTCATATCACTTATGCTAGTCTGTCCTTAGACGTGCACGTAGACTTAAAGCTGAACTCTCCTGAGTGTAGGCTTTTTGCAAGTCATGTGATAAAAGGGCGAGATATCATCTCAGCGCCTTTGCGGGACTGTCAATTGTTGTGCTACAACAAGTGGGCCAAAATGGTGAATGCCGGAGACGTCTTCGGTGGCGATGTCCCTCAGGTTGGCAAATACCATATCCGATTTCCAGAAGCAGCCCTCCATTATTGTTCTGATAGAGCAATTCCCGTGTAGAGCGAGTGTTGACGCCAGAGCTCTAACTTCATTTGGGTTGGAGGCTCTTGGAGGATCCAGTCCTGCTGCTTTGTAGGCCCGTAGTATGACAGTTCTGATCCAGATAGATATCGTAGTACGGGAGACCTCTGTCTGTGTCGCTGTCGATATCGGGACGAAAAGACGCTTGAATTTTCGTCTCCTGGTCCTAGATCTTTGTAAGTAAACTCTCAATGCTCTCACTGGGCATAAGGATAGGTCCTGCGTATCCTGTGGTCCAAGGACTGATGATAGTGTTGGGATGTGGAACTGTTTGTCCGGTTGGCCTGGCAGTTGATTCTTTGCTATGAAGTCCCATCTCAGTCCAATATGCACGATGTTTTGATTTTCATCAAACCGTGTTCTCTTGTAGTCCAGAGCATGTATTTCCGACATCCGTGCTGCTGTTGCTAAGGCAATCAGGAAAAGCCTCTTTTGCGTCAAGAACTCAAAAGATGTCCTATCTAATGGTTCGTAGATGTCGCTGGTGAGATGTCTTAGAACTGTGTTGAGGTCCCACGCCGGAGTTTTAAATCTCTGTTGTTGGTCCTCCAGTTTAAAAGAGCGTAGTAAGGCCAGTTTTGCACTCGTCCTCATGGTGATAACTGAGCTCAATGCCGCTAGGTATGTTGAGAGTGTTGACCCTTTTAACCGCGTCGTTTGTCTTAGGTGACAAAGGTAGTCTGCCACTTGAGGGTGTGTCGCTTTTATGGCTATGAAGCCGTTCCTCAAAGCGTATGTCTCGAATCGTCACCACTTGTCGTCGTACAAGTTGCGTGTAGACTTGCGTAGAGCTAGTGTGACTGCTTTCGCTGCCCTGGCGGAATATCCTCTCTTGTTCAAGCACAGTCCACACGTGTAGCCGGAACACCTCTGGGTTGCCGTGTGCTTGCTTTGTGTGAGGATGTACTAGCAGATTCATCCACTCTGGTAGTTGCAGTTGAGGCGGTCCTAGTTCTTGTATGAGAATGGGGAACCATATTCTCGCTGGCCAGTAAGACGCTACCAAAATCAGTTGTAGGGCCTTCGTCTGCCTGATTTTCTGCAACACCCTCGGTATTAGAGCTGGTGGTGGAAACGCGTAAGCGTTTAGTCCTTCCCAGGATATGCTTAGAGCGTCCGTTGCCCATGCTCTTGGTTCTGGTATTGGTGAGACGAATGTTGTCAGTTGATTGTTGAATCTTGTGGCGAATAGGTCTATTAGTGGCACTCCCATCTCTTGTATGATCTGTTTGAAGATCTCTGGATGTAGCATCCATTCTGTTGGGGATGGCTGCGTTGGACAGGATAGTGCGTCTGCTATCACATTCTTGGCTCCTGGAATGTGGCATGCTCTTATGTGGATGTTCAGGTTGTCTGTTATGCTGAACAGTTGAAAGCAGAGGTTCAGAAGGTTCGCCGACCTTGTTGATCCTTGTCTGTTTATGTAGAACGCCACTGTGGAGTTGTCCGTATGTACTGTCAGATGAGCATTCTGCAGAATGCTGGTCCAGTGGAGTATGGCGTTTATCACTGCTTTCATTTCCAGCATGTTGATGTGCAGATCTTTCTCCTCTATGGTCCATGTCCCAGCTAACACTTCGTTGTCGAGGTGTGCTCCCCAACCTTGGAGAGATGCGTCCGCGTAGAGATGTGTCTTGCAATCCGGCTCTGCTAAATAGGTGCCTCCGCAAACATTCGATCTCTGGGTCCACCATAGTAGATATGGCTTTAGTCCGTCCGGGAGTCCGAAGGGGTCCGGGTCGTCCAAATGAGCATTCACGAAGACCTGTAGTGGGCGTAGTTGTAGCCTCCCTCTGCGTGTCATGTCTTGTGCTGACGTGAGGAGACCCAACAGACTCTGCCACTGTCGTAGTGGCCACGGAGAGAGTAGAGCTTGCGATATCGTCTGTTGTATCTTCAGCCATCGGTCCTCTGGTACTGCTATGCAGTTTCCTGTTGTGATGAACCGGATTCCTAGGAACTGCAGGTCCTGTGTAGGTTCTAGGTCCGACTTGAGGAGATTCACTAGCCACCCCAGTTGTGTGAGCAGTCTGATGGTGAAGTCCAGCTGTAGTCTGAGATGATTGGGATCTCGATGAACTTGAATCCCGTCGTCTAGGTAGAATGCACTGCGTAGACCTCGATGATGTAGGTATGTGACTATGGGCTTCGTCACTCTTGTAAACAACCAGGGGGCCGATGATATTCCAAATGGTAGGACCTTCCATTGGTAGTGTCGTCCGTCCAGTATAAACCTCAGGTACTTCCTTGAGTCCGGATGTATAGGAACATGCAGGTATGCGTCCTGTAGATCTATACTGGCCATGTAGTCCATCGGACGGACGAGATGTAGAAGTTGTGGAAGATGAATCATGCTGAACTTTGGAGGTCTGCATAGATAATCTCTGTTGAATGTCCTCATATTGTAGATTAGTCGGAACTTTTCTTTGGAGTTTTTCTTTGGTACTAGGAAAACTGGGGAGTAGAATCCTGGTGATATCTGGTCCTGGTCCACCACTTCTATGGCGTCCTTTTCTAGTAGAGATGTGACTGCCTCTCGTAGCCTCTCCATCCGATGGGTTGCAAAGTCGAACTTCTGAGGTTCGTCTGTTAATGGTGGAGCTGCTTGTAGTTGTATGCGATATCCGTCTCTTAGGATGTTGGATACAAATGGATATTGAAGAATTCCCTAGTTCTCCCAGTAGCTTTGAAGACATCCACCCACTTGTGAAGGTTGCACAGGAACGGCTGGGGGTGGAAGACTCCAGTCGTTCAGAACCCCTCCTTCATCGTCTATGGTCTCTGGCGCCTCTAGGTGCCCTGCCTAGTCCGGAACGTCTTCTATAGTTGCCGGCTGGGCGACGAAAAGAGTCCTTTCCTCCTCTGGAGGTCCCCATTTTCTTCTCTCTGGCTTTCTGGATGCCCGCAAACTTGGACTTGCTCGAGTAGCGCTGGGACGTCTGCCTGATGACACTGGCTAGTGTATCGATGGACTTGATCATTAGGACTTCCCTGGAGTCCTTAGTGACTTCCTTGGCGGCAGCGTTAATCTCCCCTGCAAAGATGGATGCAGTAGACCATGGGGCTGTGTACAGCAACTTCGTGAAGCGTTCGCTCCAGTTGCAGGAAGACAGTAGTCCTTGTCGTCTAGCTTGTCAGTGCTGCTGATATGGATGATAGATGGTCCGTAGTAAACTGCTGGTCCTTTTTCTGCGTGAGTAGAGCAGAATAGATCATCGGGTCTTCCTCTGCAGTAGAGTCCCTGAACTTGGCGATGAGTGTCTCATTCACTGCCCTGGATCTGTTCAGTCCGAAGAACATCCTTCTGGTCATCGTGTCTATCTGCCCCAACTTCTTGTCCTCAATCTTGTAAGATTTGTTCCGGGCGTCGTTGATAACGTTATCGTTGTCATCGATTTCTTGTGCTTTCATGAAGGGGTCCATGTTGTGTAGAGAGAACTTGTTTGCGTTGAACTGCGGGATATGTGGAGTCTGAGACTTCGTTGCCTTCCTGAAGGCTGCGTCCAAGTTCTGTGGTACTTCCGAGATGTGATCAATTGGCGGTAGCGTGATCGTGTCGACAT